TTGTGATAATCAGAAGCAGAAAGCAGATCAGAAAGATTTTTAAAACTTGCAGTTTGGCCAGAAAAGTGCATGTAAAGTCGAAGCCAAGAAAGGTGTGGTTATTGAAGAGATTACTACACTAAGTAGTGTGCACAGAGTCAATAGGAAAGATGCTTTGAGGGCATCTCAGGAATCAGCAAGACTACACCAATTGAAGACTCAGGGTTTAAAAGTGAAAACTCATTTCCATGATTGGGAGAGCTCTCCTTGCACATAGGTGCTACAAAGTTGTTTCCCAGGATTTTTTTTTTTTTTTTTTTTTTTTTTACCATGCTCAGCTGCCTAAGTACTCAAAGGCTGCTGCAGCCATGGTCCTGGGAGGCCCAATTACTTCTCCAGTTTATGGGCCTCAGTGTTGTCCACATGGTGCTGGTTTTGCAGGGATACAGGACGTGGAAGTTAGAGAATCATGGAGTCTTCCATCAAGGTTTTGAAGGAAGGCCTGGGAGACTAGGCAAAGGTGTAGCAGAGTTGGAATGCCTGCAGGATTCTCCCAAGTCTGTACCCTATGTTTTAGCCAAATGGAATGAATCAACATATTCTAATGCCTTATAGACTCTTCTTTGGCCAAGGCTTTGTCATCCTTTTATCTTTTCCTGGAAGACTCCTCCATTATTTCTCTAACTGATGAATGTCTAATGATTCTTAACAGCAGTAGCATCTTCTTTGAGATGACTCCCTGGACAATGTTAATTGAGATATACTCTCATTCTCTCCTACCCACCACCCCCTCTCCTGTGTCTCTCACAGCATTTTCTGTGGCTGTGGCTGGTGCTTATGGGTTTCTCTCACTGGTACTAGCTGCTCTTTGATGAACTATGTCTTCCAATTTTGTATACACAGTATCTAGCATAAATCCTAACACATTCTAGGCTTTTAATACATGTTTCTGAATTAAACTGAACATGAGATTAAGAAGTATGCTATTTTATGCAAAGTATTACATTGCTCTCTCTGGACCTTTTTACTTTACTCAGTGGAAATCTGTTTTATGTTCCATATGTCAGGTGTTCTCACTATCCCTCATCTTTAACTAGGATAAGTATGATGCCAGCATGTAACACTATTGTATTTTAATCCAAATGGGTTTCATATATTTCAAATCTTTTTTCTGTAATCAAGACTTTTACATCAGCATGTGAGGAGAAGCTTACTTACAACAAGTGAACACTGCTCCATTTGCATAAAAAATAGCATCCTTCTTAGTCTGTTGTTCAGTTTAATTCATAAACATGTATTAAAAGCCTAGAATGTGCTAGGGATTATGCTAAAAATGATCTTATACAAAAATAAAAAAGAACTGGAAACATCAGACTCTGCGACATTAAAAAATCTCTCCGGGGCTGGGGATGTGGCTCAAGCGGTAGCATGCTCGCCTGGCATGCGTGCGGCCCGGGTTCGATCCTCAGCACCACATACAAACAAAGATGTTGTGTCCGCCGAGAACTAAAAAATAAATATTAAAAATTCTCTCTCTCTCCTCTCTCACTTTCTCTTTAAAGAAAAAAAAAAGAAAAATCTCTCCAAATTTCTACCTGTTTGCTTCTAATTTCATCTTTCCCTAAATTTCACAGCAACAACTAGAAATAATGCATCAACTTTTTAGTTCACTTCCACCTAATAATCTCAGCATTCTCATAAGAAATTGCCTCCATACACAGCCAAACTCCCTTGCAGGATCTCTCTCTCTCTCTCTCTCTCTCTCTCTCTCTCTCTCTCTCTCTTTCTCTCTCCCTGTTTGTGTTTGGGGGGGAGAGGTATGGGTATGTGTGTGGGGGCGTGGGTGTCTTACCTTTCTCACTTTCCCTGTCACTCTTGATCTCTCTCTTTTACCATACTCACAGGCATATGCAAACATACATAGAAGGAAAATAAAAAGAAACAGGGAAAGAAAAAGGACCAGAGAGGATGAAAAGAGGACTAATCTGTATATCTTGCAGATAAAGGAATTGTCCTTCAAATCTGGTTAGTGACATGCATAAAGAACATTAACATAATACTCAAAGCTAGAATATCCTTCTGCCTCTTTCTGATTTCTTATCAGCTCATCCTTCAATAATTTCACCTATTTCATGAAGCTTTCCTTGTCTTTCAACCCACCATGACCTTTCCTTCTACTAAAGGTCAATAGCACTAATTATTATATGATCACTTTAATATTTCAATAAACAAAAATAGGAATATTCATATGTACATTTTATTTATTTATATTTTTTCATAAAAGATTTATGTTGAATTTTTACATATGTAAGTTATGTCTCTCTAAAATCCATATAAATTCATTAAGGATAGGGGTAATGGCTCATTTGCCTTACTGATGATAACTCTTATGTCACAGAAAATAAGACAAAAACTTATTTTTAGGGCTTAGTTAAGATTCATGTTTCTAGATTTCTCCTGTCTTAGTTTAATAAATATCACTCTAACCCTAACATTACTGTTTAAACTATCAAATGGCTTCCCTCAAAATAAATCAAACAGTAAATTTAAACAAGATGATTCTCTGATTTAGTTTTGCACTTTCAGGAATCCATTAAAATTAAAACTAGGAGTAAGCAAGAATCACTCCTCCTCCTCTTCCACAAGGAAAGAAGATACACAAAGAAGGAGGCAGATCCTGCCAGTACTAAATTCTTCCCAATTCTTCGCATACCAGCAACCCTAGAAAATGCAAACCCCAAACAAATCTCTAACCACTTTCTCATTTGTTTACAATTTGATAGCTTTATAAGAGTAATATGTTTTAGCCTTAAGAGAACTACCCAACCCTCCATTGTTTGATTTCCAGTGAAATCAAAAGATTTATTTTATGCAAGTCACTCATTCCTTCCATTTTACAGTATTCACAGAGTCCCTGGTTTCCTCCCTGATCAGTCAATAAGCCATTTATAGCTAAGCTTTCAGACTGCACAATTAAAGACACTGCAGGTCTTTGCTAATGGCCACATGAGGGGAAAAAATAGTCCTAGTTTGCAAGGAGTCAAACTCAGTCATTATTTGGGTTCACATCTAGTAATTAAGCACTTAATTATCACTTTGCATACCTAGCTTTCAGTAATCACTTTTATAAGCATTCCTCATAAGAACTTAGAATATCAAATCAATACTACCATCTTTATAAGATGCAAACTGATGGTGGTAAGGGACCAAAAAAGTCTCTTTTCTGTGTGAAGGTGAAGCCACTCCCTTGAGGACAAACACCAAGTTGTACCAAGTTGTAGTTTGTTCTGCTTTGTCCACGGTTTTTCTGTATTTTACTAAGATCCCTCTTGAAGGATGGCAGATGTTTCAGAAACTCTGATCCTATCCTGCAAGTACCATGCATCATATGTTCCATGGCCAAAGTGGAACAAAATATACTGGCTTAGAAATCATCATCATATAAGTTGCTTTAGGAGTTTATGATTTAAAGGGAATTGACTTTCTAAAACAATCATGGAGAACAACAACAAAAATACTTATATTTGAAGCAAGTCAACCACTGAAGAAATAAACCCAATGCTTAAAATGGATTGCTCTCTTCCTCATCTTTCTAGGAAAGGATTTTTTAATCCAATTTAATAAACATACCATGATTGACTACCAGGCAAAACTTCAAAGGAAAGGGAACAGTAGTCCTAGGATCAAAAGAATGCCTGTTGTTGAATAAATCATATCAGGCTAACTACCTGCCACTTCTTTGTTTCTAACCAAGTTTACTGGACCAAAAGTTCAGAAAATGACATATGTATCTAACTGGAATTCATCAAGAATTTTGACTAAGTTGGTTGTGATGTGTACAAGATAAAAGGACAATGGGGAATAATGAACAGATGTGTCCTTATCAGTCCAAAAGGAAAATTTTGGTGCCTATTTTGGACAGAAGGCTTCCTCTCTCACAGTATTTCTCAACCATCCACTTACCGCCACCTCACTGTACATCTTGGTAACAGTCCTGGCTACCTTTCACTTAGGTCCCTAAAATGCCGATCTTCATCCCAATCTGCTTCCCTCCAGACTTTTCCCTACATTTTAAAAGGGTGTCCGACTTTCTAACATTGACCAGTTTATGTGCTGTCCCATTCTCAAAAGTGCCCCCAATACTTGAAATTATACGCTTTTCTTTAAAGCATGACTCTAACCATATCACTCCCCTACTTAACCCTTTTGTTACTTCCCCTTCCCTTAAGAGTAAAGCCCAAATTTCTTTGGGATAGCATTTGAACTTTTTGTTGTCCACTACACTGAGTTCCATGAGAGCAGAGTTGTGCAAAGAACCGTTCCCAGCACATAGTAGTAGGTACTCAAACGTATGTGCTGAATAATCTGCTTTTAAGGGGCCCACAGTTGAGTGGACCTACCCCTCCAACTTCATCTTTGCCTTATGCACAAATTAATCTTCAATCAGAATATATTTTGTTCAGCTCCTTTCTCACATGTAGTCTTTTACATATGTCTTTCCTTTGACCTGGTATATTTCCCATTCCCCACTCCAGCCTCATCTCCCTAATTTCTTAATTCCTGTAGTGTCCATCCTAAAAATCACTTTCTCTGGAAGGCTTTTCCTAACCTTTTGACTAGAAAATATCCTCCATGTGTGTATTCACACCACCTTACCTTCTCCAAGGCTAATTAATGCTCATTATACTTTACAGTTCATCATTTTTGGTAATCTCTCTTTCTCTTTGCCAGTCTATTCATTCTGTTACATCATTTGTACATATTCTCAGTACCCAGTCACCTAGTACAATGTCTATCACTGGAGAGGCACTAAATAACACCTGAACTGAAATTAAGCTAATGTGATCTTAAAAGAAGGATATAAAAGGCTGGAGATATAACTCAGTTGGTAGAGTGTTTACGTCTCATGCCCAAGGACCTGGGTTCAATCCCCAGCACCACACACACACACACACACACACACACACACACACACACACACAAAAGCAGGATATAAAGAAGAAATGCAATGACAGTCCTACCTTACGTTGTAATAGATTATGTTCATTTCTGGGCACTAAGTGTTAATGGTATGCTTACTGAGAGAAAAGTAATCATGGGAATTAACCAACTGCAAAAAAACAGAAAATAAGATAGTTCAGCCTAGGAAAGAGAAAAAAAGAGGGAGGGAGAAGATGAAAGACATGAAAACTGCCTTCAATTTTCTAGAAAAAAAATATTAAACATGATTTGTAGGGCCCTGGTAGAACCAATGAAGGAAATTAGAAGGTATAATTTGGGGATTTTTAATAGTTAAAGGTTCCTGAAAATAAAAGTGTTGCCTGTGAAGTACTGAGTTTCCTGTCTCCAGAGGCATTCACAACAGGTCAAATTGTAAATGTGATAGGGATATGAACTTGGACTTGACTATTTTTGGTAGTAAACAGCAGACAGAAAACACAGTAACAATTATAGTAGTTAAGTAGCTTGGTCAGATTGAAAAGAAAGTCCAAAAATGGTCCCAGTGCATATCTCATTGAGTTAGCTGAGTTCTATCCCTGTCCCCATTCTACAATTCTATGAAGGAAATGGGGATGAATGAAGTATAACAAAACAAGAGGCTCAATGAGCAGGATACTAAAGGTGATACAGTCCCCGAGGAGAAAATTTAAATTGTTAAAATGTGGTTGACATCAATACATTCCTGTTTTAAAACACATAAAAAAATAAATATTGGAATCCATAGTCAACTTTCAATAAAAAACAAAGAAAAAGAAATATCTGTTCACTTTAATTCCAGATGATAAAAAAGATACAATTTTCTTTCAAACTAAATAATATACAATAATACTTATATTTACAAACTTAAATTCTGATCAATTAATAATTTAAAAACAAACAAGCAAGGAGACAGAATTGAAAAACAATTCCATGAGTATAAACACTTCTGACTGCTTCCTGTTTTTAACCCACACTTCAAATGACACTAGTGTAGAAGTAACTGTCTTATTGTGTCTGTGATATGACTTCAGGTAACAAATTAATGACTCTGATCTATGCTTTGTAGGCTCTGGAATTTTATTGATTTAGTAGGACAGGAAAGAAATTCTCAGCTACCAAATCTGAAGAGGTGTTTGGGCCTCTCTCATTCAGTGAAACCTTTCCTAGGGAAATAAGACCACTGTTCCCAGGAGAGCTTCCAAAAGACCTTCTGAATAATTCATGGTCTCAATTGGAATAGACCACTGCAAGCAATTTTATAATGCCCTTATGCTTGACTACAATGCAGGCCCCTTTCAAGAACATATTCTGGAACTTCACTAAAAGAGAGGTTAAACTGATTTATAAAGCATCCTAGAGAATGTGCTAGAACTTCTTTCTCCTCAGTTTCCCCTAAACTGTGCTATAACCCTGCAGAAATCTTTCTCCTGGAGAATGAACCTGAGATTTGAAAATCTCAGTTTTCATAATTAACATTTGACTAATCAGACTAAACATAAACGAAAATGTTTTTTACAGTTTTGATAACCATACCACCTTTTACAGTGAATCACCAACACACACACACACACACACACACACACACACACACACACACACACCATTTTCCAATATAAATATAAAGAAAGGTTTCACTTTCTAGTTAGGAAAAGAGAACACAGCAAGAGATAAAATATGCAATGCCACTTAAAGTCAACAATCTAAAATTTAGGGGTTTTGGTTTTAAGGACAGATTTTTTGCTTTTTTGATTTTTCTAAAAACATTGAACTGAGGCCAGAGAGTATTTGCCAAGCACCCCTCACTCACAGTCACTGTCAGCCACTGAGTGATAAAGAATTAGGCTATCAGTGCTCAGTCTGATAACCCATCTGAAGGAAACTCTGACCCCAGAAGGGCCTGCCCTACAAAGAATTAACTCCTGAGGGGCTAGGGATGCAGCTCAGTGGTACAGTGCTTATCTAACATGCCTGAAGCTCTAGATTCACACACCAGCAACACACACACACACACACACACACACACACACACACACAATTAACTCCTGGGGATCAACAGCATCAAGTTTAGTTGAAGTGCCATATTTTAAGTGAAGGAAGACTCATTATAAAGTAAAATAATGAAATCTGGCAATCAGGCATTAGGCCACTTCAACTGAACAGGAAGAAGCCAGATCAGAGTAGTTGTTAATGGAGAGGCTACAAACAAGGAAGGCAGGAGAGATAGGAAATAGTGGTCAAGGGAGGCTAGAATCAATGGGTTGCTGTTTGATGTATATGGTTTTCCTTATATATTTGGTTATTTGAGTGGAAGGGATGTTAACAATACTTCTAACCTAAGGAACAGGGTGCATGAAGAGAAAGAGAGGTTGGAAGATACAGGCAGTAGTAGAAAAGGATTCTGCCAGTGGGCAAGAAATCCAGGAAGTGGGAGAGGAGTGAATTAACTGAAGACTGGGCAGAGACACTTCTCCTCACAGCAGGGGTGGGGGGAGTAAATAGTGAGTACAAATGACCATAAGCAAAACAGAGCAGGAAGCTGAGGCAGTCTTACCTAATGATCAAATTTTTTGGTGAAATAGGGAGCACGGCCTTCCTCTGTGAAGTGAGAAAGTCGAGTATTGGGTTAGCATCTAAGGTAAAAGTTTGGACGGGCTATTTAGAGGTCAGGGAAAAGGCTGACTAGTAGGGACCAGGCTATTTAGAGGACAGGGAAAAAGGCCCAGAGGCCTCCTGAGAGTTGACATGGGTACAAGTACCTCAAAAGCAGCACCTACAGAAGATCACAAGAGAGACTGGGGCCCCTGAGGGGCAAGGTCAGCTGGAAGAGGCTGCCTAGAGGTAAGAATAAATTGCAATTGGTGGCCAAGAGGATTAACTGAACCATATAAGGCATATTTTATATAGTCAGTCCAAAAGGAAGACAGGAGTCCTGGAGTTGTCCTTTTATCAGGACATCCTTGAAGACAGGTGACCTTTGAAGCACTCTACAAAAGGAAAAAATCCTAGGTCCCAGCATAAAGCAGCAGTATGGAAATGCCTTCTGAGCTGCAGATAACTCCTGTCTAGAGAATCTCTTTCCCTATTTATTTATGACTTCATCATTTGATAAGTAACTTTACCACCCACAGATGACTCAGTTGACCCAGGTACTACAATACTTTGTTTTAAAACTCAAGGAAGAGATAAGAGCAACCCCAGAAGCAATTATAGACTTTCATGGCAGAGTCCACACCTGAAGCAGACTCATATGTCAGGCAGTGAGGAAGTCCAGGTGGGACCAGATGTGAACCGACCTTGGCCCAATATGCTAATGAGACATGGTATTCCCTTTGAGTGTCAGCTTCTTTGTATGTAAAAAGAATGTTCTACTAGTCTTTATAATTCCATCATTAACTCTTCTTATAAATTAAATGCCTGATTCCAGAGCTCTGGTGATCTAAATCTACCAGTTTACAACAAATAAAACCAAAACATTCTGAGTGGGGACTCTGTTTATGTTGTCAACTATCACCTAGAAAAGTAGTCTTCCCATCAATTATGGGAAATGATTCAAAAATCCCCCTCCTCAGTTTTTCTTTGGATTGAAAATTTTATCTCCTTTCCCTTAAAACAGCTATACTTAAGCACAGGTAGAGAGGGAATTGGGGATAGAAAATGGATAGTATTGAAGTAGAGAGGGATGATAAGATCTAAAGGAATAAAAGGTTGGAAAAAAAAACACTTCTAATGTAAAATATCCAAATAAATTATAGCTATTTACCCTAAACAAAGGGATAAGTAGTTACTTATCTACTTAATCCCACTTCCTCCTCAACAGATGGGGTAAGAGAGTTGTGAAGGGGCAATGCTATTAGAGCTATAAGCCTAACAATAGTTGAGGATCCACTCTGCTCTTGCCCAACCATAGGCTTCAATACAGTCAGATTTTCCAAGGGCTCTGGTTGTGGTAAAATGTAAGTGAAGTATATAATAGAAATTGTAGATCTATATCTAGAAAAATTCCAGAGAGAGTACCAAACTGAACTGCTACCCCAAATCTGCTACCTCCTTTCTCACACCTTCCTTTTCCTGCTCTACTGTTAAAAGAAACAATCTAGATTCATTGTCTGTATGTCCCATCCCAGAGTACAGCAGCTTCCTATCACACTCCTCCTATTTCTGTTTTTTCTCCTAACACTCAGACTGGGAATACAGTGCTTAGCAAGGACCCAGTCCCTACCCTTCATTCTGCTTACAATCTAATGGGGGAAACCAGCTGTTTTCTTTGCAATCCATCCTCTTTCTTGCTTATGCAAATGTAATTCCCTCTCTGTGGAAAGCCCACAGCCCTCTTGTCTCCTAGCAACTACCTATTCACCTCAATGGAAGCTCAGATGGTACCTCCTCTGTGAAACCTTTCCTCTACTCCTCCAGGTAGACATAAATGCTTGCCCTGTGTTTCCTCAAAACTTAGTAGACAATCAACCTGTTAATTGTAAGGGTTTTATTTTTTGATTGGTTTATTTTTGTGAATCTTCCTAGTAAGGTAGTAAATTCTATGATGAAGGTAAATGTGAGGTTTTTTTACCCTTACAGTTTCAGTGCCCAAAAGATTACTGTATAGCAAACTAACCAATATGTTATTTAATCCATATCCCAGATAATAATATTTCATCCTCTTATCTTATCCAACTACAAACATGAAGGTCATCTTTGATTCACTCTTTTCTCTTTTCCCCATCCCATCATAGTCTTGATATATACCTTTGAAATACTGACTTTCTTTTCTGCTCTCCAACCTCACAGTCAGAGCCTCATATCAGTTCTTGTTTCTTCTCACTTTGGCTATATTTTAGTCCTTTTTTTTTTTTTGCTGCTGTGACCAAAAGACCTGACAAGAACAATTTTAGAGGAGGAAAAATTTATTTGGTGCTCACGGTTTCAGAGTTCTCAGTTCATAAATTGTGTAAAGGTTAATTTGAATTGTCAACTTGATTGGATTAAGAGATCCCTACGATTAAGAGGCTTCTGGGTGTCTCAGCGAATGTTTCTAGAAATGACTGGTATATGGGAACTGAAGTGAAGCACAGACCTTAAGCATGGGTAGCACCGTCCAATAAGTTGAAGGCTTGGATGGAACAAAAGTTGGAA